TTCTTCCTTGCTGGTTTTCTATCTCCAGGTCTTTGCACATTTCATTACAATAATTGCCTTTGTCCTCTCAAGCTGCTCTTTGAAGTTGTCTGTTCAGTTCTTTCATCTTGTCATTTCTTCCATTTGTTTTAGCTAATCTCCATTCAAGAGCAAATTTCACAGTCTCTTTTGATATACATTTTGGTCTTTTCTTCCTTTCCTGTCTTTTTAATGATCTTTTGCTTTCTTCATGCATGTTCTTGATGTCATCTGGTTTTCAGTCATTGCTGTTCAAAGTGTCAAATCTGTTCCTCAGATGGTCTCTAAATTCAGGAAGGATATAATCAAGGTCCTCTTGGCTCTCATGGACCCACCAGAGCTCCTGTTTGGTTTGGTTTTGGACTTGTTTTAAGTGTCTTCAGCTTCAACTTGAACTTGCATGTGAACAATTGATGGTCTATTCCACAGTCAGCTATTAGCTTTGTTTTGGCTGAATATATTGAGCTTATCCATCTGCTCTTTCCACAGATGTAGTTTATCTCATTCCTGTGTATTACATCGGGCAAGGTTCATGTACATAGCCACCATTTATGTTGTTTAAAAAAGGTATTTGCAATAAATAACTTGTTGGGCTTGCAAAATTCAATCATGTGATCTCTAGAGTCATTTCTATCACCAAAGCCAAATTTTCCAACTACTGAGTCTTCTTTGTTTCCAACTTTCACATTCCAATCTCCAGTAAAAATCAATGCATCTTGATTCCATGTCTGGTCAATTTCAGACTGCAGAAGGTAAAAATCTTCAATTTCCTTATCTTTGGCTTTGGTGGTTGGTATGTAATTTGAATTATAGTAGTATTAATTGTTCTTCCTTGTAGATATATGGATATTATCCTATCACTGACAGCACTGTACCTCAGGATACATTTTGAAACATTCTTTGTGATGATGAATGCCACACCATTCCTCTTCAATTTGTCATTCTTGGCATAGTAGACCATATGGTTGTCTGATTCAAAATAGCCAAACCAGTC